GGGTAGCAGGAGGGGCTGGGGTGGGGATATTAGGATAGCAGATGGAGAACAGACAAATATGTAAGAGAAGAATTAGCATGTTGGAGGATGGTGAGGCCATCGACTGCAGATCAGAGACATGAAGCTACAGATCCAGAGACACCTGCAGAAAGAACAAACACAGGATCTCAGGGGGAAGATTCACTGCAACCAGAAAATATATCAGGAGCTAAAGAAAATTCAACACTTTTCCTATTTCCTACAATCAAATAAGCTATTTAGTTGCTCCAGAATAGTCTTTATTTTAATATTTCTTAAAACAAAAAAAAAAAAAAAAAAAAAATAAAGGAGCACTAGCCTAGATTGAAGTGCTGTGGTAGAGCATGTGCACCACATACTACGGCCTAGTCCTTACCACAGCAACCTTGGTTTGTCTCTCTTCAGCTGCCCCTATAATAAAAGCAAAAGCAATTTGGTTCCCTATAAGGTCTGTGACAGTATCAGTTTTTGGGAGCAGTTTTTGGAGGAGTGCAGCTGGAAGTATTAACATTAATGAGGGCTCGCTTTCATTAAGTGTCCCCTTGAGCCATGACAGTGAGCCTATGCACCATAGCAGGACGTCCCCTGAGTGGAATGCAACCATCATTAATGCACCTGTGCTTTTCCTGTTATGACATCTCAAAATGTCTTCTGTGAAAAAAAAAAAAACGTCTATCTTTAGAACTAAAAGGCCAGTTTACTGTTATACAGTTTGTCCACCTGAATGGATGTTGTATCATTTAATAGGCATTATCAACGCACATCAGTCCGAGACGTGCGGCCAGATAGCGACCTCCTCCAATTTCAAGTAGGCTCAGTTGGTTGTTATCACTTCATTTAATTTGCAATGTCGCCACGATTTAGCAATTACAAAGAGGGACATAAATCCACATTGGGATGACGGAGGGGATGGAGGAGGGGGAAGTCAGAGGACTATCATCCAGGAAACAAGTCAGATGATGATTATCACATTTTAAGTCTTGTTTTTGCCTTTTGCTTTCACTTACCTTTTTTTTTAAAAATCCATTCAGGATTTGGGTAGGTTTAGGCACCAAAATGCCTCGGTTAGGCCTGGACAAGGATCATGGTTTGTAATAAAATACATCCTCTCACTACACATGTCCAGTGTATGTGCTGCAAGAGGTCACCGATGTTATCCGGGTTACTTTGTGTTTATCAGTGATCACGATGGATGATAATGCATTTACTGAGTTTACAGGAAGTTGGAGGAGGTCTCTTCTGGGCCATATGTGTGGGATTGATGTGTACAGATATTGGGCCATTTAATAGGCTGATGACATCTCAGTGTGATGGTTTGGCTTAAAGTCTGCCATGTTACTATTCAAGTTCAGCTCATTTGGTCTGAACTAAGGAAAAACTTACCTCACATAACTTTTCTTTAAAATCAGCCAAGTGCTATCAATAAAAAGTCCTACAGACTGACAGACAGCTCAGAATCAAGTGGAAAAATCAAAATCTGTTAAACTAATAATAACATCTAAAAAAATAATAATCAAAACTTCAGCTAGACCCCACATATAAGCATATGATAAACAGACATAAATGACTAAGAAATAGGCGTATCAGTTCAGTTGTTTAGCTTTTGAATGAATTCTGTGGGCGACGTCTCTTTCTGGGCAGTTTGTTCAAACTAGCTCTGATTAACAGCCTTTACACAAGCCTCAACAAACTGAAACAAACAGACAAATGCACCACTGCTCATTTAAAAAAACCGAGATTCAGTAACTTAGATTTTATTCACATTTACATTCATTTTAAAAGGAGGCACCACCCTCCCCTCACAGGCATGAAACTGTATCAGCTGTCACCGTGATTGTGTTATTTTTCTCCAAACAAACACTTGTGCAATCAGAATAATTTGACAAATACTACAATCACGTTCAATTCCACGCAAATGGGCTTTAATGTAATGCAGAATCAGATTAGGGAACGCTTAACTCCTGGATGTGGCTTTTAGCTCAAAGCAGTGTTTGCATGGCGGCATCTTGAATTTCAAATCCTGAGCGAAATATATGTAACACTTGATTATTCCTTATACTTTAATATGGCAAACATATCACCATTATGTTTGACTTCTTTTTAAAGAAGCCCACTGTACATCTAAAGCCCCTGAATGTGGAAATAAAGAAATATGCCACAAGTACGTGACATTTTATTGTATATAACATACTGCCAGTCGTCCTAATTATAATCCATATGACCGGGACATGTCTTGAGAAGTTCCCCAGGTTTTCTCTGAGTCAACGATAAGACGAAGGCATGAGATGATGGAATAATGTAGAAAAATGTTCTTTGGAGCATTCAGAACTTTTTATCCTCAGCCAGTCCTCTGTCCGAGTTCTTCTTAGATTTGATTGCATGGTGGTACTGGTCACCCCGGCCATTAGGGCAGTGGCTTTCTTCCAAGCATGAAAATTTGGCATGTGCTACATACAGCAGTGCAATATGGACCATTGCACAGTATATCTGGAGGATCTTATGTGAGTGACATTCCCTATAAAAGGCAGATGGTTACAATGTAGGTGACACTCCTCGCGCTGTCACTGGACCATATCCTATCCACTTAAAGATCTTTTTTTGATCTCTAGCTGAACCTTGTGCGTACGTTCAGCATGTCCTTTAGGGAATGTCATGGAGCTGATACGCTATTAAAAGTACAGCGAGGGCGTTAGAAGTGCTTTGGAGTGGAGCTTGTGTTACTGTATTTCTTTAATTCTTCTCTCCAGTAATGGATCTTTGCATATACGGTACCACAGACAAACCACACAAGCGAAGTGGTGCCCAGGCCCCTGGAGGATTGTTCAGTAGAAATAAGCAGACTCATATGCACTAGGAGATAGCAAGACTACAAGCCACATTCTGACTAAATGTATTGCCCTAGAATAGGAGGGGTTTCATTATTACCTGCAATGGTCAGTCATTTTCTCCTGTCCAGAGCTCTTGTGTCTGCCAACTTCACCTCCCACCCAAGCAAGGCCAGATTAACCATCCCCCATTATGACCCTCATTATGCACGACAGCTTCACTATGTCTCCTGAGCAGAAATCAATACTGAAGTGCGGAAACTGTTAGTGATCAACTAGCCAGCTGAGAGAGAATAAATCGGCAAGTATTTTAATAATTTAAATAATGATTAATTCCTCTTCTTTTTTTTTTCACAAATTCAAAAGACACTTAGACCAGTAGTTAGCAACAGTAAAGTTAACGTGGAGAGTCCAAATGGCGATTACGCTACAAGGGCGATGCTGTGCATGTGTTGAATACGCAAGTACGAATTGCTGCGCATGTATAGAAAAGAGTTCTCCAAGCAGGATTTTCACAAACTTAGGGATGAAATGTTTGTCACACAGACCCTAACGTATCCTCAGGGACCCTTTTGTATTTGCTGATGGATTCTGCATCATGCACATCATCACACAACAATTTAACTTCCTGCAACTGTTTACCTTTCAAGTTAGAATAACGTCTTACATTAACTCAACTCAGAGTTTTTACCTCTGTCAATTAGCTCTAAGTTTAGCGAACTCAAATGTTTGTGCTGTAGCAGGAACACTGTTACCTAATAGGACTTGTATGATTCAAGAATGGGAACAGAAGGTATCTACAGTATCCTTATCCTGTTTTAATTTTGGTTCGAGAGAAGATCGTCTGACTCCTCTGTGGCACAACTATTTTCATATATAAGATAAAAGCAGGTTTACGTGAGTAAGTTGAGTAAACAGTCCTTTATGCATGTAGTCAACTGAACTTATAGGTTCTGACATTGACAGTTAGTCAGACAGCTGATCTAATTACACTGATTCACTAATAGAGGAAAATATATCTAATGAGTTTCTGTGTTTTTACAAAGGTTAAGAACATATTGAGTAATGATATTGTTTACTGCATTCCTCAGCTTAAGAATACACAGTAGAACACAACTGAACAGACCCACACAGCTGTATGGAAGCAGAGAATGACTTGTTTTGTTGGTTCAGCTTTTGCGCTTATTGCTGATTGGTTAAGTTTCAAAATCCTAACAACTTTCAAGTGAGCCAAATAATCGATATTTTAAATGAAAAGAAGACGCGTGGGTGCTTTCTAGCATATAGCCAGTTAATCATTTGGCAAGTGGAAATAAACTGATGCTGACTGCAACTTAAACAAGGACAAACACACCAGTGTTTGAAGCAAAGCGTGAACTTAGAAAGAAAGAAAGAGAAGCTATGGAGGCAGTGGAGAAAGAATGAGACACTTCAAATCTAAGCTCATCTGCCTGCTTCACCTCAGAGCTGCTGAGAAAAGTCCAAAGTTTTAGATGGGTAAGAGAACATCAGTTTTGTCAAGAATGAATGAAATGACAGAGGGATGCAACAGTATTATGTCATGGTGACTTTATATTTCATAGCTGTGACTCCACATTGCATTTGACTCTCACTTGTTTTTCTTTCATAATTGGTATCATCCTAATGCATGTATAGGTTAGTTGATCCTTCATGGATTTGTGCTTATCCATGGTCATGATAATCTACCAATGGGAAGCACTCAGTCGATATTGTGATGTGATGAATAGCGTGTGGTTTAGTCTCTTACTTAATGTACTGGTGGAAGCAGAACAATGTGAAATGACTTTCAAATTTAATAAGCTACTTTTAAGAAAAGTCTGTCATTAACCAGTTTCTGTCTTGGAGATTTTTCCACAGAAAAGGTAGCTACCATGTGAGCCCTTTTCTGGGGTTCTGGAAAAGATTTCTGGGAAATGTAGGAAATTGCCAGTTGAGAGACACAAAGCAGACGGTTCCTAAAACTTCTACAAAGCACTAAATGTCCTCTGATGGGACATAAGATGTAAAAAAAATGAGGTGTTTTAAAGCTCCGGGTTTGGCTTATGTTACATTTACAGCTAATAGACAAGTAAAGATGTGACACTGAAGAATACATAAACAGACACCTACTGTGCTTCTCTGTGTCTTTCTCCTCAGACATCCGTTGTTCCCGCTGCTGGCATTGTTGTTTGAGAAATGTGAGCAGGCCACGCAGGGATCTGAATGCATCACATCAGCCAGCTTTGATGTGGACATTGAAAACTTTGTGCACCAGCAGGAGCGAGAACACAAGCCGTTCTTCAGTGAAGATCCGGAGCTGGACAACTTGGTAAGCCAACGACTGTGACAAAGAACATGTTAGACAATCAGTTTGTGGGACCTGCTTCACTTTGTTGAAGGATTATGCTGCTTTTCCACCAGAAAAGGTCTGGTTCTAGAACCGGTTCTACTCAGGGCCCATGCAGCCTGGGTGTCACCTTATGAATCAGCCAGGATTTCCATCACTTTGTAGAAGAACTGATGCATCATTATGACTTCATTTTTACAGTGAACATAGGTCAGCAAGATGGGGAGACTTATTGTTTACCTGCAAGGACTGAGCATAGCGTTCTATTGCAAAAGAAAGAAGTAAAAAAACTTCAGTCCAATAGAGATATATGAGGAAATTCTGGATATCTATGCTATATGGTTACAATATGTTTTCAATTTTTAGTAACTACTGATCAATATCAAAGCTATCTAAGATTTTAGAAAAGTTCCTTTTGATTGGATAAATATTTTACCCAATTAAATACATTAATATCTTTAAGACTTTTCAGTCAGCCACTCTTTGAAGCCCACCAAAGCACAGAGACTGCGTTGGTCAGAGTAATTCAATGACAGAAAAAATAAAAACAAAACGCTTTCAGTGCTAGTAGATCTCATTGCATCTTATCATACTGTGGGTCATAAAATCCTACTGCATAGTCTTTAAAAGTTGCTTGACTGTCTTGGAAGTATTTGTTTCCCTGGGTGATTTCTCCTCAGACAAAAAAATCAGTGGGGTCCCACAAGGTTCTGTTTTCGGTCCTTTTAACCTTCAAATGCTACCACTTGGCAATGTCATCAGAAAGTTTAAGACTGAGTTTCATAGGTTTGCAGATGACACACAGCTATACACTTCTGTATTTCCAGGTGATTTTAGCCACACTGATGTGTTAGTGTGGTGTCTATATGGCATAAGTTAATGAATGTCAGTCACACAACTTTCTACAGCCGGTTTAAGAGCACACAGAGAAAGTTATTATTTGGGATAAATCATACAAAGTACACAGTCAAAGACATGGGGATGTGTTTGGCTATGAGCTCATTTTTTAAGTTCCCAAAAGTGTCATTTTATCATCCTAGAAACATTGCTAAAAAAGACCACTTCTCTATAAGGCTCACAGAAAAAAAGCTAAAGCATGCCTTTAGAACTTCTAGTCTTGACTATTGCATTGATTTCTTGTTAGTTAACCTAAAAACCCTGCGTGTGCTGACCAAGACCAGACAGAAATGCATACATATAACACCTATTTTAAAGTCACTGCACTGGTTGCCTGTTTATTATAGAATTTATTTGAACTATTTTAACTGTTTTACTCGTTTTTCAATCACCGAATGGACGGACACCATCTCTCTGGCATAATCTTTAGATATGTACCTAACACATTTCCAGATCCTCAGCTGTTGGTCTGATCCTTGGGACAAAGAGCATCGTTCTTCCACAGACTCTGGCAATGTCCACCTTGAGACATAGCTGATTAGTCTGGCTTTTCATTAAGGGGCCTCATCGTTTTAAGTTTTTATCACAGTTTTTCAAACTCTGACATCCCTTGTGTCTAATTACTTTTAAGTTTTGCAAAGATCAGTTCTGTTTTTTATGTTGTTTCTGCTGAAGTACTTTGGGCGACATGTTTGTCTGAAGGTGTGATATTAATAAAGTTACAATGAGCTGAGTAGCTATGTAAGTGCTACATAAGATGTTTTTACTCACAAGCGTTAATTCATTGCTTTTCCCTTTAAATAAAATACTCTATGACAGTCATGGTTCAAGCTTTAGGCCCTGCTATATTTTGCTTTATAGCTTCCAAACTTCTTTTTGTAGAGGAAACACACAGAACAGTTCAAATTTAGGTTTGAAAACTGCAGCAAAATGAGTCTGACGCTGGTGGAAATGCCCCTTAAGAAAAAAAAAAAGGAGTAGAAATGGCTGTTTGCATCATTTATACTCCAATCATTCCCTCCTTTTTCATGTAATCTTACCCATCCTCCCCCTGCCCTTCTCCTTGCACAACAGCTAGCAGTAATTACAAATTATGAGAAGGAGGATGCTGATCATGTTCACTGACAAAAGAGGGGGAGGAGTTAAAGCCAGACAGAGACAAAGGCAGGGACAAGAAATGTTTAAAAAAAAAAAAGTGCAGTCTTGTCATTACAGTACTTGGGATGGCAGGCCGACAAGTGCTGAACAGTCAATTAACCCTGCATCTGTGTGTTTTATGAGGCACTGGGTGCGGGCGTCCCTCCCAGAGGGCACTAACTCTTCCACAGGGCAGTAATGTTAGGCTGGGCCTGACTGGCTGTGATGGGTGCAAGAGTTACTGGTCCCTTGATTAAGCGAGCGCAGTTTAATTAGCTGATTTATCTCCTCCTTGGCCAAGCACTTTTCTGACCATTCTGTTGACCTTGAGTGGTGACTTTGAGGGAGTGTGCCACAGTGTGCTGCTCCGAGTGGAGAAAATCCAGGCTGTTGATGGTCAGCTAACGGCTGAAAAGAACAGAGTGCAGAATTACGTTGTATGTTGTATATGTAGCAAATGTTTTAAAAACCTGTCAGTGCTGCAAACACAATCCTTAAACTGCGTTCAAACTCTTTAATAGGTTTTAACCTTTTCACACATTCATAATATACAAATATTTGTCTGTCGTTGCCTTTATCAATAGCTGTCAGGGAATGAACCTGGAATAAGCTGTTTCCTAGCAACACAACTCCAGTGAAATGCGTGTTAAATATCACAAGTTCCTCTCTGACCCCTGCGTTTATTCAAATTATCTGCATAGGTCTGACCAGAACTAGAGCTACATTGTGGTCTTTACCTTGACGGCATCGGGGGCATCGCTATGTAAAAGCTGCCCTCGAAACCTCATCATAAGAAACTGCCGCAACAATTCCTTTAAGCAATGTTTCAGTGAAGCTCTTGTGGCTCGATGATCTGAATTCTGTCTTCAAGCATTTGTAGACTTGAGAATATCCCCATCACGAGTGAATACTTAAACAGGAAACTCTGCTGTTGGCATTTAAAGTCTTGAACAGGGTTTGGTGCTGAGACCTTTCAAAAGCCCAACAGATAGTTTAATGGCACTTACCCTCTTGTGTTGCATTCAAACATGAAAAGGCCATAGCGTACTGCTGGGTTCAGGAGTTTAGTCACACTTTGAGCATAGATATTGATTTTTTTCACCCTTGCGAACAGAATGTACGTCAAAATAATTTAAGCCTAAAGAGACTCTGACTAGTTTTCTAATGCTTTCTCACGTTTTCTTTTCACTGAAGAGGACCTGTGAGAAGCAGTCGAGAGCTTCAAAGGTGGGAAATGTAGGTTTGAGCTTAGGTAGTTGGTTCACTGTGCGCAATAAAATCCAATATATATATATTTAGCTCCCAACAAAACAGGTTCGACTCCATCATTTTGTAGTAGAGGCTCGATCTATTGATAGATCTATTTGGGAGTATATAGGTTGTACACACTGCCCCATGTACATGCAATCTATATGAATCTCTGGAACATTAAAATTGAATGTCACTCCCCGCTCATCAATAAAAGACATTGCTGCATGCCACTTGCTCTCGTTGTTTCACTCTTAGAAAACTGACTGTAAACACTTCATTCCAGTTGTTGTACATCTGGTGTTATGATGGTCCGGTTTTGAGTTTGCTTTACTGATTTTGGTCAGTTTAAATAAATCGAAAGCTTATGTTGGCGATCTGTATACGTTGACCCACCATTATGCTTCTGCTTCTGACCATTTCTTTTTTTATTTTTTCTTTAAATCTGTGTATCTTGAGTCTTTTAATTATGTGTGACTGAGACAACAGAGCAACAGTGTACTGCTTTAGAGCCACTTTTTTTTTTCTTGAAGTATCTCAGCAGCTATGGCCCTGAAATGATGTAAAGACATTCATGGTATCCCGAAGATGAATCCTAATGATGATGCTCTTTGTTCTTTTATTCATCTGCCAAATTCTACATAACTAATGACGTTTTAGTTATACTTGGTCTTTTTGCCAATTACCAATTAATTCATGCTGCAACTCTAAACTTAGAAGTCATTTCTATAAATGGCAATTTCTGTCACAGTAGTTCTCACCGACTTCAGAAGAATTTAGGCTACATCTGATTGAAATCTGTGCTACGCCTCATTAGAACGGCACAGATCTGTTGGTATGGCTCTAGGGCAACCATTTTGTTTCCTTTTTAATCATCGTGGAATCTGACAAATACCCTTAAAGGACAACTTAAGGGATCTTTCTTTCAAAAAAAAATTAAAAACTTAAAAAAATGCAAAAATATCTGTATACTAAATTGCCTTAACATCATAATAATGTTGTTATTAATGGGTAAATAAATAGTATTTTAAAATTAAGACAGTGAATAAAGGGTTTCAGTTTTGTAGTATCTCATTGTTTCATTTAGCCTGGTTCTGTCAGAGGTTTATTCCCCCCTCACATTTGGGCGGGGGTTTCGGTTCCTTCCTGCCGTTGCCAACCGCTTGCTCAGAGGGAGTCCAAAGGCAACTCTGGATTGTTGGGTTCTCTGTTTAAAATTCATAAGGCCTTCACCGTACTATGTTAAGCGCTGTGAGATGATATATGTTGTCAACTGTGCTATATATATAAAACTGAATTGAATTGAACTGAATGTGGTCTTTGCCATGGTTTGTTTCTCTCAGATGGTGAAGGCCATTCAGGTGCTGCGGATTCACCTGTTGGAGTTAGAGAAGGTCAATGAGCTCTGCAAGGATTTCTGCAACCGTTACATCACTTGCCTCAAGACCAAGATGCACAGTGACAACCTCCTCCGCAATGACCTCGGTGGACCCTATTCTCCATCACACACCAGTCTCAGCATGCAGCAGGTCAGTCATGGACCCAGTCTGGATCTTACAGTTCCTCAAAGGTATCCCTCTAAAAGTAACACTTCCCGACATTGTCATTTATCACCAGGTAGAGTTTGTCATTGAGAGATTTTCTCTCACAAGCAGTAGAGATCCCTCCTTACAGTTGCTCACCAGTGTCTCCCTCTGTGATCCCCCAGGAACTAATTCAGACCTCCTCTCCATCCATGACCTCTGTCTCCAGCTCTGTTAACCCTTCAGGGATTGTGGTGCCTGCCGGGGGTCTGCAACAGGGCAATGTCGCCATGACCACCATCAACTCTCAAGTGGTATCGGGTAAGCATGTCATTACTTACACAAACATCAAAACACTTAATGTCACATTTAAAAGCTGGGGAAGGCGTTATTTGAACTAGAAATCAAGTTTCTCTGTTTGGTTTCACAATATAAACATCGACATGTTCATCCATAAGTCGTGGAGCAGTTTAGGATGTTCTGGTCAGACAAGCAGCTTCATTTTATATAAAACTCTTGAGTCCCCACATGGATAAAAAAAACTAAAAAACATAAAGATTCCTATGGTTACAGTACACCCGTTTCACACCTCAGCAGCATTATTTTTTAATTTTTCCCGTGGACAAGTTACATTTCCATTTAGCATCACCAAACCAGGGCTGCAAGGTGACTCGGTGGTTAGCAACGTTGCCTCGCAGCAAGAAGGTCGCCAGTTCGCGTCCCGGTGAGGACACCCGGGATCTTTCTGTGTGGAGTTTGCATGTTCTCCCCGTGCAGCGTGGGTTCTCCGGGTTCTCCGGGTTCTCCGGCTTCCTCCCACACAGTCCAAAAACATGTTGAGGTTAATTGGTGATTCTAAATTGTCTGTAGGTGTGAATGTGAGTGTGCTTGGTTGTCTGTCTCTAAGTGTAGCCCTGTGATAGACTGGTGACCTGTCCAGGGTGTCCCCTGCCTTCACCCTGAGTCAGCTGGGATAGACTCCAGCCCCCTGCGACTCCAGTGAGGATTAAGCGGTGTGTCGATGATAGATGGATGGATTTAGCTAAACAAAAATCCAAACTGAAACTTTACCTGAGGTTACATCCAGTATGGAACATGTTAGTGGCTAGATGGTGACCCTGTAGAAATGTTGTTTATACATAGACTATGAAGTGTGCTTCTTCCACACCTGCCTCATTTCCCAAGGACCCACTGTGAACAGACCCCCTCTAAGAAAAATTTTTTGCGTGAAAATCCATGTGAATGGACACCGACAAAACAGATTAATGAACCGTACGCACTGATTATTAAAATAAACTCACAGGTTAGGAAACAATGTGCACGGATTCAATGGCATTACCTTAAAACTATGAACACACTGTCATCTGTCTGCAGCAAAACTACATAAAGTAGCATACTTTATTGTATTGTTATGGCGGGTGTACTGGTAACTTTTAAAATTTTGATCTTAAAACAAATGTGTGGATTTTAGCACCGTTTCAGCAACGCATTCCCTCCACTTTTAAATAACTTTTTGATTTTTTTCTATTACATGACCCCTGAAGATTGACAGGGGATGTTCCATGATACTGAGCCCAGTTGTTTTTGCTACGAATCACATTTATCAGAAATTTAAATTCCACCTCTGCACCAGCGACAAACAGCTGTACATCCATGTGAGACCTGGCGATGCCGCTAATGCACCACGAGTCTCGTCACGTCAGAAATAAAGACCTGGGTGCCACAAAAGGTTTCACGCTTTTAGCTTTGATCTGTCTCAGTCACAACTGAGTCATTTATCACTCAAAATAAATGACATATGATATTACACTCTTTTTTTTTTTTCTTCAATCATGTATGAGGGTGGTTCAGCCAAGCTGTGACGAGTCGGTTTTAATTTTCAAGTCTCTCACATTTTCAAAAAGTCGTCCATGTTTTCTGTCTTGTTGTTCAGAGCACAGCCTTTATCCATGCCTTAGCCAGAAGAATAAGATCAATCTATCTGAAGGGCTGCTGCCTTGCTCATAAAAATACTTTCCTTTTAATTTCAAGCTGTTTAATTTGATATTTGTGTTGTATTATGTTTATTGATTTTCTTCATATCTGATTTATTTATTTACATTAGAAGATGTGAGCTTTCTGTCCATTTTTTTGTAGTTTTTTCTGTAACTTCATTTGGAAACTTGCTTTACATATAAAGATATTATTATATGTTCTGCAGAAGACTTGTCTTATGATTGAATAAGATTTGACACATGATTTGTGTGTCATGTGCACACAAGATGATGCTCACTTTACTTCTATGTAGCATCAGTTTAACTATTCACCGTGATTTTGCTTTAACAGTCCATTCAGTCACATGTAAGCATCTAATGAAAAATAACCAGCAATCACTCAGCACAAGTACAAACAGGAAACACTATTCTAAAAAATAAAAAACCCAAAAGATTTTAGCGCCATTATTTCATGTATATGTGTCGTGACTGAGTTTGGTGTACATGTGTATCGGAGGGTCGTGCTAAGTATCCTTCACAGAGTGCTTGGCTGATAGGTTCTTATAATGTCAAGCCTGTACAGTGAAATGTTAATCCTGCCCTCTGGAAATCCCTTTTAACCCAAAATAAATCAATGTCTCTGCCTTTGATCACTACACATTGAAGAGCTCAAACAGACTGTGATAAGAGTGTGTTGATCAAGGCTAATTAAGCCGGCAGCAAAAACACACTCCTCCTCCTTTTTTTTTTCTCTCTCTTTCTGAGTTAAAGGGCATTAACGCACCTTGAATTTAATCATTTAGTCTCTTGTTTGCCTCGTTCTTGATTGCGAGCCCGACAAGAAGTAGTTAATAAGGCTCTGGTGGTTGCACAGGATGTGGCTGCCAGTAGCTGCTGCAGCCACTTGATACTCATGGCGGCAAATTATCCCCTCAGGTGGGACCCTGTACCAGCCAGTTGCCATGGTGACATCGCAAGGGCAAGTGTTAACGCAGGCGCTGCCGCCGGGAACCATCCAGATCCAGAACTCGCAGGTAAAGACGCCCGAGCGGCGATGCTTTGGCCGACGCATTTTCTCCCTCCTGTGCCCTCCCCACCCACTGTCTCAATTTGTTATTATTAAAAGGGCCCCTTTACATTTCACAGAAACCCCCCTGGGTGCCTTTTCATTGTCTCTGTCTGAACACAGCCCCCTGCTGCCAAACAAAATGGAAATTGTTTATTCCCCTGATGTTTGGGGAGCTTTCATGATCCTGTCAGGTCTGACTGCAGATGAAAGTCATGTGAGGACTTCTTCATTTATAGAAGGATTTTTTTTGATGATGCCGTTCAGACAGATGCAAGAAAAAAAAAATACAAGGTTGCTACAGAAGATGCTCATTTGGTTTCCTATTAGTCAACAACCTATAGACAAACTTAGCAGATGTGAAAAGAAGTGTTGCAGAATTATTATGGACGGGAAATATTGGGACCACAAATGGTTTATCTTCTTTGCATGAAAGGCTCTGGAGCAGTGAAACCCACATGAATGCCTGGAATTGGATTTTTTATGACACGAGGACACATTTGTGGTTTTAATATTTCCTTTTTTTTTTCTGGTTCAATTTTCAGCCTCAAAAGGCTTCTGCAGTTGTTTTAGGATACTTGCTGTATTTTCCCCTCTTTAAATCTTAGGTTGTTGTGAATATGAATGAGCCTGATTCTGATTCTTTGTGATTAATTAAAAATTTAGCTGAAAGCTACACTATTCAAAGGAAGAGATTATTACAGATTTAGTCAACTGCAAAAACGGCACAGAGCTTCTTTAGTTTCACACAATAATTGTTCAACATCATCTGAAATATTCGAGCTGAATGCAGCTGTCAGGTTCAGAAAAGCTTGTCAGGCTAAATGTGTCAATGTATAAGAGCCAATTCAAGCTTCCATGTCCACGTGCGCTCACCAATGCAGACTTTGAAAGCGGCGCAAGTGGTTCTTTTCATACTACAAAAGGTACCCGTAGGTTTGCTACACAGTTGGTCACATTGATCCTCATACTGAACGCAGGAAAACGCACCGGCCTCCTGTGGATGTGTCTGAAAAGCTGTGACTTTGCACTCTTTACAGGCTATAGTGACACACTAGGCTGTGGCACCACGTCAGTGATTATACCTGAGGTGTGTTGAGCACAGTGGGTGCACATAGCACAGGATTACTGAAGAAATTAGACCTTCTCACTGTGTTTGGCCACTGCTGCTGAAGAGTGTCTAAAAATCAAAGCTCCTCCACAGTCTATCGGCGACTCTTTAAACGATGTGGATGACGGTGAATCTCTTCACATAGCCTCTCCTCGTAACAAGGCACCGTTTGTTTTTCCATCACATGCACGTTCGGCACGCTTGCAGTGCGAACAGTCCGTGTGGGAACATATTTTTGGCTCATGCGGGCATCTGCAGAGGAATCTGTGCGGAAGCTTCCAGACTTAGGTGGAACTTGTATCACGCAGATCTTTGCGGATGCAGCTTGCCCTAGAATTAGCTGAAAGACAAAAGCAATTCAATTAAGAGAAATAGTTTTCTGCTTGATGTCGTGTCTACGTTTAGAAAAAGTAAAATGAACAGTCAAGTTATAGAACTGCTAAACTGTATGTATCCCAGAACAATATGCTTTTATTATTTAAGTCATTCTCCCTGATGTGTCTCTGCAACCATGTTGTCTGGAAATTACATTTATATATGGCTAAGTTGCTTTTCCAGTGTCAGGAGTAATAAAAGTAGTGGCTGGCGTGATTATATTGAGGGACGCAATGCATTTATGAACAGTGTTAGAGTCAGCGGGAGGTGGTTGGGGTGGATGGTGGGCAGACCAACACAGTGATACCAGAGACCTCAGTGTCATAAATCACCTTGGTTAGATCGTTTTGGTTAAACATGTTATCTCCAGTCACTGTAAACTTTTTTTTTTTCTCTTTCACATTTAATATTTTGCTGCAAGACTAAGAAAAAACATCATCAGTGAGCTTGTTACTCACTTATATCTACATATGTGCAGGTTGCCAAACTGCATTTAGTAATATTCCCTTATTACTTCATTAGAAAGCATAATCTAGTCAACACAATTTTTCTTTTCAAATTAGTTGTGCAGAAACTAACTAAGAGAAAACAAAAAGACTGTGTGTTTTCCAGCCGGTAGAAAGCTCTGTGCTTGTTTTGTTAAAGGTTAATCGAGGTGGGAGAGGACTGTTGGCATCCAAAACCTTTACGACGTTCCTTTTGTACACACACACACACACACACACACCCTCTGTTGGAAAAGATTAGAAAGCACCCTTTAAAGGTAGAGACCAACAGCCACTTGAGCCATTGTTAGATCTGCACAAAGGATGCAGGATCTCCTCGGAGTCACAAGGTCTTTGCTCTGTTCTGGTGCTGACTCATTAAAAGACAGTCACAACAATACACTGAGACATACAAATGGAGAGCAGACAAAATGTATTGTGTGAAAGTTGGCTGAGCATGAAAACACAAAGGAATTCAATGTCCTAGTAAAGTATGTGTTTGTCACCGGCAGTCGCACCTGCATTGTGAACATAGCTGGCAGTGTTATTGATGCAAACTCCAAAGTAGTGAAGAACGGCGTACTTTTTCAGTTTTGTTTACCGCAAACATGAAATACCTGAGAATCTCGGATGCTAGGTGGAAAAATTCAAGGGTTGTAATTAGAATTACAGATGAGGTTGCACAGTGGTGCGGCGGTTAGCACCGTCGCCTCACAGCAAAGGAGGTTCTTGGTTTGACCTCACTGATCGGCTGAGGCCTTTCTGTGTGGCGTTTGCATGTTCTGCGGTCGCCTGGGACGTTCCAGCTTCCTCCCACAGTCCAAAGACATGCATGGTTGGTTAAGTGGTCATTTTAAATTGCTGTGAGTGTGAGCGTGAACCATAGACTGTATACAAGATGGACGTCGCAACCGGCCCTGATAAATGAAGCCAAGCCGGAAGTGTCAAAAACCTGCAATATCACTACGTCCACTAGCTGCTGGCTCCAAAAACTGGCTCCCATAGACTTGAATTGGAAAAGAAGTGATCACGAAATACTACATTCCTACAGCTCAGGATTTTTTTCTTATTAGTTTTCATGGTCAAATCCAGAGATCAGGTGGCCAATCTGAAAATAAATCAATATTGAATTTTTGAAAAATCGTCAACATTTTGCGGGGCAAGGGGCGTGGCTGGCTTGATGGACAGTCGGCAGCGACCATACAGATGAAGCGAGCAGAAGGTGGTAAATATGGGCGGGCAGAGAGGGCCCGTCTCTCAATCCATCTGACCAATCGCTGCTCCTATGGCTCCGCCCCCCTCCGACGATTTTTGCATCACTGGCTACAAAAATCCAAGATGTCAACCAGGAAGTAGCAAAACCCTGGCTTCATTTTCTCAGTGCAGAAACTAACGTCACGGGAGCTACGTCCATCTTTTATACAGTCTATGGCGTGAACCTGCGTCAACCTGTCCATGAAGTTCGCCACCTTATTCTTAGGATTCGGATTTAAAGTCACTGACCATTTCCTTCTTTTTCTGGAAATATAAAACACAGTAATGACTTAGAGGTGGAGGTAACATAGCACTACTGAGGCCAGTCACTGTGTGGCCTCGACAGGCTCAACACCTCCCTACAGATATTAATAAAAACCTGGGAGCTGTGCAGTTTACCGCTGCTCTATGGGAGTCAGTGATAGTTTCAAGTGCGGCTCAGTTTCACGCAGGTAATTTTGTGCTTGACAGTCAGATGAGGCCTCAGTGAGAAGCGGCGACCCAGCCGAGGCAGAGTGCGACATGTGTGCTGGGAATTGAACGCAGCCCTGTCGCTACTTTGCCGACAAGCCCCAAGTAATCACACTCTCGAGCTCGGTGCCGTCAATTAATTCAACCTCGCTTTCCCCCGGAACACATCCACTCCCAGGGCTGAGGGGGGGATAAGAGAAGGGTTATCCACATGACACCCAGCTGCAACTGTAATGAACCTTGTTTTGTGTGGGCAGTATGAGGGGGAATCTGAGTGCATGTGAATGTGTATTTATGGGCATTGTGTGGGTTAAGGTGGGGGCTCTGTGAGTGTGTGAGTGCATCTGTCTTTATGTGTCTATGGATTCTTTACAGTACTGTGCTGTATACAACCCCAGTTCTATGTCATTCTTTATGGTATTCATGCCTTTTGTCTGCATGCTTATGCACATAAAATTCAATTTTCAGTTGAAATCAATTTTAATTATATAGCGCCAATTTACAACATATCAGCTTTATCAAAGAGGAAAGGTTGAAGCCTCATCTTAAAAGCAGAAAGGGTGTCTGCCTCCAGAACCCAAACTGGATTCCACAACAGAGGAGCTGATAACTGAAGGATCTGCCTCCCATTTTTCTTCTGGAAACTCTTTAATGGAAAGGTCTTTAATGTAGGATAGAGCTGCTCATTAAGAGTTTTATTTGTTAGAAGCAGAATTTCAAATTCTGTCCTGGATTTTACAGGGAGCCAATGAAGAGAAACCAATACAGGAGAAATATGATCTCTGTTACTGGTTCCTGTCAGAACTCTGGCTGCAGCATTTTGTATCAGCTTTTAAGAGAATTCTTGTGACATCCTGATAATGAAGAATTACAATAGTCCAGTCCAGAAGTTATAAATGCATGGACGAGTTTCTCAGCATCACTCTGAGACAGGATGTTCCTGACTTTGACAGTACTGCACAAGTGTATAAAGGCCGTCCTCGAGACGTGCTCTATGTGTAGCTAAAGGACATATTTTGGAGAAAAAAAAATAACTCCAAGATTCTTTGTAGAACTGGAGGCCAAGGCAATGTCATCCAGAGTAACTATCTGCATAGATAGTGTGTTCCTGAGGTGTTTAGGGCCAAATACCATAACTTCAGTTTTGTGTGCATTGAGGAGAAGAAAAGTACGGGTCATCCAGGCCTTTATATCCTTAATACGTGCTTAAATGGGTTCATTTGGCTTAATAGATAAATACAACTGGGTGTCATCTGCATAACAATGGGAATGTATGCAGTGTGTGGTAATAATATGATTCAAACCAGACATAGTTGTGCAGTGGAACTCCTGAACTATGTCTGGTGTAAGTGGAAGAATCATCATTAACATGAACAAACTGGAATCTATCTGATGAATGTGATTTAAACCAGTTAAGTCCCAATTACATGTTCGGGTCTCTGTAATAAAGTTCTCATATTCTCGTCTCCAACATATTTTAGTCTTCATAAATGAGCACTTTGTTGAAAAAAAAACCCCAACAAAACAAGTGCAGTGACAATGACATATTTAAAAGTTCTTTCCTCATATTATATATTCATGTTATATGTTACATATTTATGAATATGCAGACATAAAAGATGATGAAGAGTAGCTCTTTTCACATAGTTTGCTGCTGAAGCTCCATTGTGTTTCATATTATCTGCCTCAGAGCACACACACATTTATCTTCATGATGAAACAAACAAACACACTGTGCTATAGTGTACAGACACACTTCTTTTCCCCACATATGATGGTGTTGCATTTACGTGCATTCTTTCTGTAGGAACTTAACGTTTACCGTAATCTAACCCAACCATGGATCTAAGACTCACCCTTGAAATCATGAAAACCTACTCCTAAATTTTTATATTTTTTAGTGATTTAAAACATGTGTCTCCAGATAGGAAGTGATTCCTCAGATGTGACTGTGTGAAGAAAACATCACCTTAAATGGCATTTCAGAATTAAACCAAAACTAATAATTGATTATGACTGGGTCACACAGTTCAAGAAACGATGCAAAAAAAAACAACAACAAAAAAGGAAAAAACATGGTTCAGTCCATTGGTTACACCAAGAGGACAGTATGGCCCGTTGGTACTTTAACCTATCTTTATGTAGAAAAGGTTTAAAAGATTTAAAAAACAGTCACATATATCATTACTTCTTGTGGCCAGTGACCATTTTCCCTTCAGGTGCCCTACATCTGTCAGGTTGATATCATGTCGTGTGAACATACCTCAATCCCACTGATTCCTACTGACACGTAGATTTTTAAGTTGAAATGACTTGCAAATATTTAGTTTTATTAAAAATAATAATTAAAAAGAGTCAGTAGTTTTCCAGCAGCTGGACACTGTAGCATGAGTTATTCAAACAGGAGAAAATAGTTCATGTCTTAAAGACTATGTTTAGGCAGATTAATAGACATCTGATGCCCCAGTCAGTGTTTGTAGCAGCAGGATGACGTCTGACTGAGTCAGACTACAGTGTACATGGTAATAGTTTGTGGACAACAAAGAAGGATAAGCTACATCAGGCTTTGGATTACCACACAGTGTGTAGTTGGTAGTCGTATATGTTAATGTGTTTTGTTTGGGCCTTTTATGGGATTTGCTGACAATAAGAATGATGTATCACCAGACTAACCCTAAGGCATCCGTCACCAAATATGTGCTAAACCATTTACTGACTTTAACGTTACCTTGACTGTAGCTAAAAAAAAAAAAAAAAGCATCTCTTGAGCTAATGTGATCACAAGAATTGTGAGCTATCTGGTTTCAAGTGTGGCTCAGCCAGACCAAGCGCATGGACGAACACGCATACACACACATATCCATATGTACACCGCAGGCTGTCAGAGACGGCGGTCAATACTCCGAGAGCGTCTCGTCCTTCAGCGCTCACACTCCAAAACAATAACATGTGAATAATGACTTGTCACTGAACACAAAGCGAGGCTTAGCTCAACACGAGTGAAACACCAAGCCAAACACAGTCCCGCTTTGTATCAACTCCTCACTAATTTAGTGGCAAACTGTGAAATTCAAACTTCTGAGCGAAGGCTCGTATGACCCTCGCCTCCTTAAATTCGTTGTGGAATCACCGATCAGGCTACAGAATAGTCAAGGGTGTTGCTTTTTTGTATTTTAAGTATCATTACTCAAATTCAGTTACCATGGTGACACTTGAGGAGGTGTTTCTGCCCTTGCCACAGAAAAAAAGATAGGTAATTGGTAGTCTCCCTTTGTTTCCGTGGCAACAATAACTATGCCCTACTATCCGCTCCTTTTTGTTCTTTTCTTCCTTCTTCTTCCCTTCCTCGTTTCTGTTGTGAAGGTAAATGTGGACCTGTCATCCCTGTTGGACAATGAAGACAAGAAGTCCAAGAATAAGAGGGGGGTCCTGCCCAAACACGCCACCAACATCATGCGCTCCTGGCTCTTCCAGCATCTCATGGTGAGGCAGACGGGGAGGTTCAGAGTTTATGTGTGTGCGATTCTGTAGAAGGAGACAGTATTGTGTGAGGTGTGTTAAAGGAGGGGGTCAGCGAGCAAGAATTTTGATAGAAAAAGTCAAAATCAGACATGGAGTGACACACAAATAAATGACTGAACTGAGAGTTTCTTCTTTCTTTCTTTCTTTCAGCACCCATATCCGACAGAAGACGAGAAAAGGCAGATTGCAGCACAAACAAGTCTAACCCTTTTGCAAGTGAACAACTGGTAGGATGCTGTAGCCGAACCCCGTCCTGTTACGAGACAGTCCCACAGAAGTCTCATGTACACGTTCATGTTGGTATTATTGTCGTGGATATGTGAGTGGAGGCTTTGCTTAAATTGAACTTGAGAATACCGGCAGCACATTGCTGACGCTGTGGCGCCATCTCCTGGTCGTATGCATAAAGTACACCTTAGATCAAATTGTGTCTCCATTCTTGACATGCTTCAGTGTGACTATCCGACGGTGCTAGAATGTTAACGCCAGATCCTTAAAGTCCTGTTGACTGGCAGCACCCCACAAGGCTTGGCACTGTTTCCACCGATGTTTTGACTCAGTCCTGTGGCCATAACAGTCTATCAAACTGGTTCAAGTCTTTACACCTGCCCATTTCTCCCACATCAAAAGTATTGGCGACAAGATCTCACTGCTCACTTACGTACATTATTTCTCAGACCTTGACAAGCCATTGTTTCAAAATAGTCTAGCTTTATATCTAAGTGGACATTTTTAAGGTCTGTTTCATGAAGAGTTGGGAGAGATTTGAACACATTTGCTTCAAAAACGTAGGCTGGAAAAGCAAAAATTTGCTATTTTATATGTAAAAAAATGTGATGACTTAAGATTAGAAGCCTATTAGTGTATTTAGTGCAGAGAAAGTTGATTGTAACATAATTTTTTCTGCAGTAAATTGCTCATTTGCAGAAAATGTTACACAATTAGTTATGTAGTTATCCAAAAGAATTACTCAATGTTCTGACATTCTTGACCTGAACACTGGTCTAGATCTATATGTGCATTCTCCAAGACAGCAACTGTTATATATTTGCTCTTTATACAAAATCTTTTCCTCACAAAGCAACGTCGTGTTACTCACTAAAATCTCCCCTCGTCCCTCTCTTGTCTTGTTCTCACAGGTTCATCAACGCTCGTAGGCGTATCCTGCAGCCCATGTTAGACGCCAGTAATCCAGACCCAGCTCCTAAAGCGAAGAAGATGAAGTCCCAACACCGTCCAACACAGCGCTTCTGGCCTGACTCCATCGTGGCAGGAGTTCTGCAGACTCACAGATCCCAGACAGGAAACAACTCAGACAGTATGTACACTGACAAGCACATCCCAGCTCCCTAAATAATCCTTAATTTCTTTTAAATCTAGAGAACGCATGCATTAACAGTCATCTTGTGTGTTTAAATCTCACCCACTAGGTGCCACTATTGATTCTTTCCTTCCACAGTATTTATGTGGGGGTAAAAATAAAGAGCAAAGAGTTTCATATTCTGGAAACAGATGTGTCCTAAAGGAATCATAAACTGAATCTAAGCTTGTTTTTTAAAACTGTTCTCTGGTCTCTTGAGAATAGTTAGAAAAAAGAAGAAGAGGTAGCAGATTTCAGTCACCCAAGGGAACCGTTTCATTTCTCTTGTCAAAGCCCAGAGTGGGTTATAGATTTTAGTCGCTGGGTGTAATTTATCTTCTACTATCTCCATACTGCAGTTGATGCAGGTAAAAGCAGAAGAATGTGAAGAAGCACCTGCATTTATTATTTGCATAAGTAATATAGGAAGGATGCAAGGGTGGAACTGGGAACAGTCAACTGCTGTAGATCAAGGGATGGCTGTTAGGTTTCATCAGCGTTGTTTAACAAAGGTCCAGCGTAGATTTACAAGCACGGCAGAGGCAGGTTGAGCTTTACACAGGCCGTGTATGCAGTTTGCAGCATCACTTAGATGAATGTGAATTGTGCCACCTTACAGGAGGTTGGATATTTGCTCTTAAGAAAATAAACAAATACAGGCCCCATAGCTGCAACTTAACAAAACTTTTCATTAGTTAGATGCCTCCACAAACCAGCAATTTGAATGATCGATGGTGATTAAACCCACCCTCCTCTCCTTAGACCCGCTGAGCATGGACAGCCTCCAGTCGCTGTCCTCAGACTCGGCCACCCTGGCCATGCAGCAAGCCATGCTGGGAGCCGACGACTCCATGGACGGCACGGAGGAGGAGGACGAAGAGGAGGAGGAGGAGGAGGAAGAGGAGGAAGGGATGGAGGAGGAAGAGGAGGAAGAGGACGGCGAGGAAGAGCACGACAGGGGGAGGCAGATGTCGAGCAGGGTAGGGGGAAGGAGAGATCTGAGCATGGAGCACAGAGAGGAGCTGGAGTAGTCCATTAGGAGGAAGGAGCTACGTGAACTTTGACTCCGGTTGTCAAGTGAACACATCCTCATCCAGACTCACCTAGCATGGCTCTAATGTCGAGTGACTCTTGAGAGCATTTAAGGGCGTATCAAGTCTTCATCAGAAACTCTTGTGCGGAGCCTAATCAGACACAACGACCATCACAATCATGATTATAGAGGAAGAATATTAGTTTAACGATGAATTTGTGTTGTTGCATTTTGCTATAGTATGTTCCCCGGCAGTGAGCTCTCTTGAAATATTTGGATAGTAGCACATTTTTTTGTACTCTATAGGTCTGTTATTTTTGGAAAGAAATGGCACAGGAACTAAAAAGGTGGAGAAAAAAAAAATTACTGTCAGTTCAAAACTGAGGATATTTTTAGCATTAGCAAGTGACAGGTAAAGATGCTGGGTGCTGTCAGAGAGACGGGATGTTCTGGAAAATGAGAAATAGTTTCACATGCATCAAAAAAAAGAAAAGAAAAGAAAGAAAACTCTTTGCACAGTGAGAAATTTTGACTGTATGTGTAAACAAATACTGAATGTAATCGTTCGGCACCGGAACTTTGTTACGAAAAGGGCTGCAGCTTCTTTTTTTAACAGTTTGTTTCATGCGACTCATTTTTAACTGACAGTCCACACTTTCACTTTGCAGCTAATGTGCCATTTCACATCCTAAAAATGAGCAAGGATTAACATAAAGGATGGGATGGGATGGGATGGGATGGGGGGGGAAGGGGGTTGTGTAATGCTGTCCACATATCTGCAGAAGTGACTGTATATGTTGGCTTCTACTGCTGGGACATCATTCACGCCTTTTAAATGACTCATAGGTTCTCAGGTCGAACAGCGCTCTCATTTGCCGTGTTTCCTCTTCACGAGAGACACACACATGACTCACTGCTGCAGCAAATCTTTTCGAGCATGACTTTTTTGAAACAATCTTAGTTTATTTTTTTCTTCTCCCATGAGCAAAAAAAAAAAAAAACTGTAGTAAACCAGTGTATACTGACTGCACATATAGTATGTATATTGGATTTTTTCATATGTTTGTATTCTGGTGTTGAAGGTTTGCATATTTATTCAGTTTATTTTGTGTGTGTGTGTGTGTGTGGCCGCAGATTAGCTCAAGGAACAACACGACAGTTTCTGAATAAGGCTGATGAAATAGCCGGCGGCCGTGCGCATACGTACTTGACTCCAACCATCGACTCGTAGAAAAACTGCTTGTGTATTTTTCTGACCTTGGGTGATTTTTGTCACAGCGTAAGAGCACCGGCGAGCCCCGCCGGTCACCACAGACTTCAACACCGACGGAAATCACGCAGAGATGGCCGGTGACTTTGGAGCCAATGTCATGTACTGACAAACAGTTTTTTTTTAAAAAGGAAGAAGACACTTTTGAGGAAAAATAAGAAAGAGATACGAGACTTAGTACCGACGTCTCTTTCCGTTTTACGTGAAGGCTTTTTGCAGAAACTGTGAATGAATTTCAGCTCTCTGTTTTGTACTAAAACACACAAACGGACTCACTCGTTTCTAATGTGAAGATGTCTAGGAAAAAAAAGAGAAAAAAAACCCATGTTAAATTGAATGTTCTGATTGTTCATTGTGAAGTATGTTGCTCATTAATATTCTTTTTTCTCAATTGCTTTTTTTTTTTTTTTTTTTTTGTAATGGATCTTCCAAAGCAAGTGACAGACTAGGGGAATATTTCTATTTCATTTGTACACTTTGTTGTCATAATCTATTGTGTTTCAATAGACCAATTTTAATAATTAAAACATGTAAAGGTACCGTTTGTGGCTCATGGAAGTTCTGCATTTGTTTAGGCCGGGCTGTGAATTCTCACACAGTTTGATTCATGGGAATATTTAGACAGTTACAGGAGTACTGTATCACAAAAGGAGCTAAACTAATGCATGTGGCACTTCCAGACCCTCTCAGGCTGATTCTTTTGTCGTTAGTAGTCTAAATATCGGTTTAACTTCCCTTGTTTTCCTGTCACACGAGTAGCCTTCCACCTGCTGGTCGTTGCTCAAAGCCCGTGATTGAACTTGCTGAAAGACACCCACCCAAACACTCGCCCACCTTTTTTAGCTCAAAGAACCCAGCAGAGCTTTTCGACCACAGGTTTCTGAAATGTGGCATCTGCTTTCTTGGATAATCACTGTATTGTTTTTTTTTTTGTTGTTTGTTTTTTACACGGTTTGTATGTGTGTAATTCCATTCCTGCGCTGTTTTCTGCCTCCCCCCCCCTCCTATAAAAGGGCAAACTGTAATTGCAGCACTTAAGTATCTGTTATTGTTCGCCTTCAACATTACTCCTCCTTCATTTTCTGATGCGAGGAATGCGAGCTGCAGTGGGCCTACTCGGTGTAGGCAACATGTGGCGAGGTGATTAGGAAATTGATTAACATTAAGAAGCAACGGTCCAAAGTTCTCATGTGTGGGAGAAGAAATCAGCCATATTTACTAAAGTGGTCTAATAAAAAAAACAATAACTTGCTTGAGACGGTAACATCACAACATTTCTTCGATAATTATTCCACAAGGACTTCAGTAGCCAGTGGCCCTATCTGAACAGGAAAAAAAAAGCAGCAGTTGGAGAGCAAATGGAACAAAATGTGAATCTAATAATCTGTCTATCAATATAACAGCAATGGTAGGCGGTATCATGGGATGGTATTATTGTGGAGTCAGGTTGTTGCTTTGGTTCACTTTAGGTCAGCAGGGTTAAAGGTTCAATGAATACAATAAATAATAATAATGGCAGAATGTATAGCTCCAAATACTGGGTTGGATTTTGTAAATATATTTTATTGAAATTTTCACAGATTATAATCAAACAAACACAAAACCAAACAAAAATAAAATAAAATAAATAAAAATACAAAACAATGAACAGTGAGCAGTCTGAATTGCCACAACAACAAAAAATAATTTGCCCTAATCATTCTTTATTCAAACGGCTAGGCCCAAAGTTCTCCACGTTAAGCCCGAACCCCTTCGAAGGAGATCGCCCGGGGCAAGTATTCCAATAGAGGGCGCCATAGATCCAAAAAGGTGTCATCATTGCCGCTCAATTTTGCACTAATTCTTTCCATTGGTTAAACATTTCCTTATACCACTGTGTTACTGTTGGTGGTTTGTCTTTAATCCAGTTAAATAAAATACACTTTCGTGCTAAAAAATAGAAGCTTACCGAGTAATTTAGATTTATTCTTGTCTATTGAATTATTAGAACATGGCAGCCCTAACAGAAACTGACCCGGGTCTTTCCAAATCCTTCTCCTCAGTATAACACTAATTTCATTTGTTATACAAGACCAGTATTTTGATATTTTCGGACAACTCCATAAACAGTGTAGGTACGTCCCAGCTGTTGTTTTACATTTAAGGCATAAGGGCGACCTAAGTGAGTCTGTCTTGTTGGATGACCCCTTTTTTATCTGTTACAGAAAACTATAAGATGGCCAGCATGAAGAAACTCAGACTCCTTGTTCGTTTGTGTTGATGCAGCAAAGTGGGTCAACACAGAGCACTGCATCCAAAAAACATTAGCTCATCTGGCAAAAGAAGTTGATCTTTGCTCAGCTTTTACACTAATGCGACACCACGTCCACTAGCTGGAACACTGCCTTATAACATAAACGCTGTATTTATAATGCTCACCTGCTGGAATAAATTCACTGACTGATGATACTCCAGAGTAAAAATCTACATCAGAGGATTTAGGCTTCTGATAAGCCTTTAAATTAAATCTAATTCCTTTTTTTTTTTTTCTTTAATATGGCGCCAACTCATAGTGAGGTAAAGACTTTCCAAAATTAAACACACAAACCCGACACATCCAATGATTCCTTTGTATTCCCTTTGATCAGCGTTTGGCACCAACAACATGCACCAACACCAGTGTCATATACAGTATACATCATTTTGTTCCTGCCTTTCAGTCCCGTTACCAAAATAGTGCTATCATTATCTAATCTGCCATTTCAATTATCTAAGCTACAATAATCAAAGCTTCTTTTCTTTTTTTCTACACAGGATGGAGTGAATAATAGTATCTGAGAGTGACTCATAGTGACAAACGGGCCAGATTCTGCAGTTCCCCTCAGCTTTCAGGCACATTTGTTGTTGTGCGTCTACAGCCTACAAGTTTTTGGTTGCCACTTTCATTAGCATCATTTCCAAATGCAGCAGCTGTTTTTAACATAAACCCCAAACACACACCATCTCCTCAGCGAAAGTTTGCGAGTCGCTTTTTGAGCATAGTGGATCATCAGCCAAATATACAAAAGCTGCTGTTTGTCTGTAAGCCACTTCAACAAACCATCTGGTAACCCACGCGATAGCACAGCTTCCCTTACTGTATGGTTTAAAATATCACTACATCAGAACCCCTGCATCACAGCGTCCTTCCCCATCAGTCAGAGCCTCACTGTTAGCTTCTCTCTCGAACACATGTAGGATGAGGGTGAGAAACATGCTTATTGTATGGTACAGTAGCAGCTCTGAGGCTGTAGCTCAGTAAAAAATAGAATCCGAATGACAGAGGCTGAAAAAGCCACTGGCGATGGTTCACTTGTTTGAAGTGGGCCAGAGCCAGCGTGCTTCACAGTGTGGACACACCAGAGAAACGCACACGTACACACACACACACACACACACATCCACTGCAAGGCACTGTTGAGCACTGGAGGTCTGCTGCAGTCAATGCCATCTGGGCGCCTACATGCTCCCAGATGTCCTCTCTTTAATTAGAGCCAGACCCGGCCCGGCCCGGTCCAGCCCAGATCCAACCTCTCATTTACTGGGCCCTCCCTGAATACTTAAGGAGCTTTCCAACACTGTGCAGATCTTTAGAGGAACCCTTTGGATCTGGAAACATTATTTTCAAACAGTATCATCTGAGAAAGCTGGAAGACACAAGGTAAGGTGGCCATGGCTGTCATCATGTGTAGAATAAGTCCTTAGAATAATATTAGTTTCTGATTGAATTTTCTCTTAACTGAAGGAGCAACTGTAGAGGTTTTCTTTTAATACAGTAAAAGCAAAGGAATTTCTACCTCATTATATTGTATGTGTTGAGGAATGACAGGGAAGATAAGATACAGGCAGTGACACGTGACACAGGTCAGGAGGTCGGTTTGTACTAACAGCACTAAAAGTACACGATATCTTCCTTTCCTCCTTGACCGTGTCAAAAAAAAATAAACCTTTTTCCTTATCACTGGGTAGGTGTTCAGAATGTCCATCGCCCAGGCGGCGGCCAAGGCCATGCTATCTGATGCCCTGCTCCAGGACAGCTCCGGGATACACCGGATCAACCACCTGGAACTGGAGCTTCCCCTGGACAAGGTCATCAAGTATGTGTCTGTCGGCCTTCCGCTGATGCTGGTGAGCATGGCCTTTGCCCGTGAGATCTCCCTGGGTGAGCAACTCTCCGTCCCTACGCTTTTTAAAAGCCGTGTTAGAGCAACTGTTTTGTATTCCATTTCCTTTTGCCCTGAATTATACTGTATATTCATGAGTGCCCTTTTTTTTTTTCTTCCCCCCTCCGTGCTCCTGTTTTTGACTTTGTGGTCTGTGTTTCTGCTGCATTGTTAGTCTCCTCTGTGTCGTAATCGTGTAATGTTCGTCCTTGAATTGCATATTATTGACTTGCTCAACTGCATTGAGGAGAAATATCATAAAACAAACACACTTAATATACCTCCAGCATATGGAATTTTATTTTAAGGTAGCTCAAAGATTTAAAAAGAAAAAGAAAAAAGGCAGAGTTCAAGTCAAAACTCAAGGTAAAACTGTGACATGTAAGCATATCTCAGCTTTTCTCTTTACACCCAGACACATCCCCTCCTACAGCTCCTACCTAAGAAAGGTCATTATTAAGAGCAGTAAAAAATGAGAGCCATAATTACACAGCTCTTTCCAAGTGGGAGGCCAGACATAGGCAGGGAGGGCATATCAAATGCATATAATAAAAGGAGGACATTAACTGCTGACTGTGTTCAGACCTCCCCAGCACCGTACATCCCACGGTAACGACGTGACAACACGCTCATTACCCATTCAGCAGCTCATTGGCATTTATTGATGTTTTCAAATAGAGGAAATACACACGATTTGAATAAAACAGGCCCTCAACCTGTGTCCTTCATCACTCAGCTGCCAATCCAAAAATATGCGTGGCAGGTTCACAATGCAAGTCTATCGCTGAGGAGACTGACTCCCTTGACTTTGAACTAAACGTCTTTTCTCCAGAGCTGGTCTGCAATCAGCCTGATGCTCCTGATGCTAATTGCCACGAGGGATGATTGAGTGCAGCGTTCACTAACGCTGGCACACTGTAATTACAAGGCGAAGTTCTTCTATGGCAGCTTCCCTCTATTTGAGTCAAATGAGAGGATACGCTGATTAACCAGAGAGGGGCGGGGGTGGAAGTGAGGGGCTGCATAGGACATGATGTGGTGCTGGGGTACGCAGCTCAACTGATGGATCTTGGCTGCCTATCTGCTGGGTTGTCAGTTTCACAACAGAGCTTGATTGTGCTGCTGTCTGGAGTCTGGTTTACTTGCACCTGGACTCTCAGCCAAGAAATCTTGTACAAGGCACAAATGCGGGGATGATCTGCCAGTGTTAATTGGGGATTGGGAGGAGGAGATAGGTGCAGTGGCAGAAATTTTGTCTCTCTCCCTTTGCCAAATGTCTCACAGGGGTGGGGAGCTGAAGGAGGGAATATTTTACAAGATTTTATGAGTAGGCATGTGCTGTCATTTTTTATTTAGGGTGATTTGGCAACACATGCACTCACAAGAAAACCAGGAGAAAAAAAATGAATTCCCACAGTGAACTGCACAGGAACACACAATCGTGTTGGTTAGAGTTACAATATATCACCTTAACTTAAACCTACGCATAAGTATAAATGTGATCTTGTAGCTCTCCATTCAGTAACTCTTAGTTCAAATGGCAACCTGGTAATTATGGCACATTATATGTTTTAGTAGCAACATCCTCTTGTGGCCGTTTCAGCAACAGCTACAAAGGATGAAGCACAATAGAGTGGGGAGGAGGTTGGGGCGGATGGGTAGGTTGATAAAACACAACAGCACTGGAGACTTCTTTTTTATGTTACAGATTTAAAGCCAGTGTTTATTTTAACCATAACTTCTGTACAGTTTTAACTCCATGTTTATTTTTGTAACCACAGACCTACCCTTAAATAACACTTTTTAGATGTCTGAGCAGAGTTATCGAAATAGATTCTCATCCATAACCCTCTGGTCACTTAAACTACCCCTAACACTGATATAACGCTGCTTCTAAAGCCGTGGATGTAATGTTTCATCATCTGTCTCACTTACAACTGGCAAGATATATTCCTATTTTTAATCAATATCGCTGGGATAAAGACTTATGCTCGACCAGCCACACTTTATTTTCCTGTTTTACGTCAAGCAGTTCAAGTTTTAGCAAAGAAAAAACTGCTGTTATGCAGCACTGCTTTTGTACATTTGATGATTTTATCTTTAATATAACACAGAACTGTTAGAATACATTAATGCAAAATAGACAATACATACAGGAGATCTATATTTTAGGGAAATAAATAGGAGGAAACATACATAGCTAAAGTACAACTATCAAAATGTGTATTAAATATGTCTATATATGCTGTGAAAATGCAATACATATATTAAAAAAGGCAATTTTTCAATATATTTTTTAATATATACGATATGTATGTGTTATAAATATGTGCACTACAATAAATATATGATTATATGGCAGAAGACGGTGATTGTTTACTACATAGAAATAGTTTGCCATCCTGCTCATTCTGTCTTCCTGTAACCTTAAACATAGTTAATCAGATGAGACACCAACCACCACCGACAACAATGTTTAGTCTGAGTTCAATGTCAGTCTAAACACCGAAGCTCTATCCTTGTCTCTCTAAATATCTACACAAGTTCACATTTATACGACCATAATTACATTTTAGGTGTCACTATCAATAATGGAAATTTTAATTTTGAAATGTGGCTGATTAATTACACACACACATACACACCTTTAAGATAATTGGACCTTGTAATAGTTGGGCTATAATGAGAGGGTCTGGCAGGAGAAATTACATCCTGACAGTAAATTAGTGGCAGTATGTTTCTACTTACAGAGCCGGGCAGATGTGGAGGGTGCAAGGGGGAAAAAATAGAACCGTTTTCTTGCAAGACTCTGAAGGAGGTGGGGCACACCCTTACAGTTTCCTACCCAAAAGCTCTCTGTTGAAGGGTGGAGCACCCTTGGGAAATGACAGATGGGTGCGTTGGATTCAAGTGGTTAGACTATATGCGGTAATATCAAGGTGAACTAAATATAAGGTGGAGAAGCACAAACTTGGAATGGAGACACCCAGGGTTTTTAAATGCCAGGTTGCCATTTGGAAACATATGATTTCTCTGGCGGAAATCTGTACTACTGAAAAGGAAAAGGGCATGCAGAAGCTCAGATGTGTGTATTACGGACCTCCAGCGCTGAGTACTGCGTTGCTTGTGAGACAGAGATATCAAGTACCGGGAAATATCTTACAGGCAAACTGAAAAAAATCAGGATTATAGGAGCAATCCTCCATATTAGACGATAATGTTACAGATCGACATTTGTTTATTCTGCAGGGCCTCAGATCAGCTGTTTCCCTCCCAGCAATTTCACCATCAAGCAGGCCAGCTATGTAGACACGTACTGCTGGGACTCTCTCATGCATCACGAGTTTGACAGTGATGGGAACTTTGAGGAACGCTCTCTCTGGGTGCACAAAGTAAGTTTAAAGATTCTGATCAGGCTCCCTTGACTTGTTATTCCCTCCTAGAGTGACAAACTGCTGGCAGACATATGCTGAAAAATTTTCCTCCTTAAGTGTAACTTGCAAAACCTTCGTTGAAAATGTCAGTTTAGACCTTTAATAGGAAGCAGACAACTGTTGTTTTTTTTTTCCCCCTGCTAACAACATTTGCTAAATATTCAGAGCCAGTGCTGCTGACAGTGACAAACAGGAGAGTAGTTTGAAGCAGAGATTTGTGTTTCGTCATTTGTAACACACTGGGTTGTAAAGCCACCGTTCCTTTCACTCACTGGATTCTTTGAACTATTTTCTGCCACTTTGTCTTCCCTTTTCCCTCCAACTGCGTCTTCTTTCTTTCACGATTCTCTCACATTGTCCAGATGTTTCCTTACTCTCTTCTGGCGATGGCTGTGTTGATGTACCTGCCGGCTCTGATCTGGCGCCAGCTCGTCATGCCCACACTGGGCTCGGACCTGCTCTTCGTAATTGACGAACTAGACAAGTCGTACAACCGCTCAATTCGACTGGCCCAGAGCATTCTGGATATGCGCCAGAGCACCAAGAACCCACTCACATTTCAGGCCGAGCTGCAGAGGTAAGAAACCGAGAATATTCGCTGATGTTTATCACTTTCAAATAACGCACTTCCATGACCGTGTTTATGTTTTCAGTAACCTGATCTTGTGAGTGTTGATTTGCCCCTAGACTAGAATGCACCTCCCCGAATGAATCTTTAATGATTCCTGTAGAAAAATAGGTCATTGCAGCAGGAAGTACAGATGATCTGCCAGTGAGGAATGTTGCCCAAATGTTACAGAAGTGATGCTTCGCTGTCAGTTGGAATCTCTTGATAAACTGGGAAAATATAGTTTAGGAAAGCGAAGTGCAATTCAGTTTCATCTCCCACTGCAACCACCCCTGTATGCTCTTGAGCAAGACTCTTAACCTCCAACGGTCTCAGTGTTGTGGGGGTTGTGGTGGGCAGCTTCTTGTAGCCAAAAGTAGAAGACTGCGGTTGTGTTGGGACGATTCCAGCTGGGAATGAACATGAACATGGTTGTTTCCTCTGCTTGTCTGATTGCAGGGCGAAGAAGAAGCGATACTTTGAGTATCCCCTTCTGGAGAGATACATGCAGTGCAAACAAAACTCCTACTTCCTTGTTAGCATGCTTTTCTTGCGCGGCTTCCTTCTCCTGACCTTCATGACTGCTGCCTGCCTCTACCTGGCCTACTTCCATCTCTCCGCCTTCCTGCAGGACGAGTTCAGCTGCTTCGTCCGCACGGGCATGCTGCGTGATCAGATCTGGGTTCCTGAACTGGTTCAGTGTAAAATGATTGGCCAGTTGGTCTTTCAGGTGATAAGCGTGGCCAACGGTGCCATCTATGTCCTGCTGGCGCCCATCGTCCTCTTCAGCCTCATTCGACTCTTCGTTTGGGACACCACCTTCATCACCGTCTACGAGGTCCTCCCGGCTCTGGATCTTCTCAACCGGAGACGCCTGGGCTGCCCGCTGAACGACCTCAACGTCCTCCTGCTTTTCTTGCGCGCCAACGTCGCTCACCTGAAGTCCTACGGGCAGGTGAGGGCTTTGTGTTCTCTGGCGCCGCCGCAGGTGGGCAACGTAACTCCAGGACAGGGTTTAAATGCGATGCTGACCCAAGAAGAGATGGAGGAGCGCGAAGAGGCGGCAATGGAGCTCGCGGAGGAAGTAGAGGAGGCCAAGGAAGAAGGGAAGCTAAATTTAGTGGACATCATGACGATTCTGGGAGCGGCGCAGGGACGAGTGGTGAACTGCAGCGAGAAGAGGCCTCTGGTGGAGGAGAATATGAGTCTGGGTACTGTAACACTTATCTACACACTCAAACGCATTCTGCTAGTGGCTATTTTCATCTACATCATTTGGGATGTACAGAAAATTATAAAGTGACCTCCAGACTACAGACACAGGTTCTGAAAATGAATAACAAGTGCCTTACATATAGGACAGCACTAGCAGCGCTAACTGAATACAGAATTAGGTCATATTCAAGAGGACTTGAGGAAGCAGTTTGAAAAACAGCTGCAACTATAGGCAGTGAATCCAAATTAAAACACAGTCGTTTCTCTGTGCTGTTTACAGCCGTGTTGCTTTTCTTCTTCCTGTATGAAACCAAACAGAAGCACCTATATTTCTAAAAGAGTCTTTTAAAAGCTAATGTAAAAGAGATAGATCTGTGGTACTTCCTAGCCCTAACTGCCCTCTCTGTCTCCTTACAGAGCCAAACCACCAGGGGTACCATGAGTTGAAGGAGACTGCACCATTTAGTCATTACTAGGCCTCCTATGGACTGAATCAATGTGATAACAATTGGGTGGGTGGAGGAAGGGGTGGGAGGTGTTGACACTCTACAGTAGATTTTCAAGAGTACTGTACCCTCAAAGACTGTAGACACCAATCAAGAGTTTCTGCAGTTTGAAGACACACACACAAAAAAAGCCTCTTTTAGAATTACAGGGCAAATTGTTCTGGCTGGAAATGTCAGTGGATCTGGGTTTGTCAGTTTCCAGCAGCTGAGCATCTGCAGCTGCCATAGACGTTCTTTCTGTCTCTCACCACTCGTATAGTCGGAAGCAAAAGGCTAGTAATCAAAGACAAGTGTGCAAATGAAAGTGGCTGCTGTGGTTATTGTGAGAGAACACCATTTGTCAACATGACAACATTTGTGAGGAATTGAAATTCTGAAATTACGCAGCATTTACACGAGAGACAGAAAAACATGTTCAGTGGCAGCTATGGATTCTGGAGCTGGTAATTTCCTTTGACTTCCATTTTATGAATTTATTAAGAGGTAAGGTTAGTGAATGCTGTAATTTATATACTCTTTTGTTTGTTTTTTGCTTCTTTCCATTGTTATTTACTCTATCAACAAATACAAGTGAGTTTTTTGCCTTCTGTGAATTATAAAAATCTGTATTCTGTGTATTTCTAAATAAATACGTTCTGTTTAACTAGTAGTGCTTTCTTCATCCTTAAATCCTATGTGGTTGAATTTTACAAACAATCTTGCAGTGTAATACATCAGAAAGTCAGACTAAATTGTTTATTGAAGACCAACAGAGAGCCACTCATCTCTTTCAGTGCTTTTATTTTTAATACATGTAATTTTTCTCTGCAGTCTCTGCGCACAAATGTCAGAAACCTTTCGAGAAAAGGAACTTTGAACACAAATTAATTTTTATTAAGGCTGTAGTTAATGACTCTGAAAGTCTTTAAATGTACTTTGATGATAGACTTTATCATAATTATTGTCATTCGTCGGTCACTTGCGTCACAGAGGTCATAGAGGTACAAAAAGTCTCTGTATTGAAGATTTTATTCACGTGTTAATTCACTATGCTCCCATGTCCGCCACAGTTAAGTGTAGTGAGTTGTCTCTGATCAGACTGCATATAATTTATGTTAAATATTTAATCATCCAGATGATGCAACCAATATGTGTTAAATGTGCAGCATCCAACATTAAATGTGTGTTTCAGAGGCCATCCGAGGTGGATGGGGGCTGGAGGGTATCTAAATCCAGCCTTAGCAAGAGAAAAAAAAAACCTGTTATCTATCAAACGTGTGTCAACATGTGAGCCTGTTCTACTGAATAAACCCAGAATTACTGCTGTGCAGCAACACTGAATTATCCACAGAGGAAAGCAATTATTTTGATGTAGTCAAAGACACAAAGGCAGTCCAGTTGCCTAGTGGGTAATGGGGGGCTATTGGTGTACAGCAGGAATGCAATGCAGATCTAAGACTTATAATGAACAAGTGCCCCCTCCTTCCAAGTCCAATTATAAAGGTTGTGTATGTGTTTCAGGATTTCATATGACTACAAACATTTTGTTTTAAAAAACTGTCTGTTTTTTTTTTTCCTCCATTGAAGTGGTAAGTCACGGATCATGGGGCACTTTATAGTTAGAGCATATTTCAGTTTTCAGAGCTAAAATAATGGTTCAACTTTTAAGCGCCTCTTGCTCTTAAACTTTAAAGAATTTCTTCACATTTTTCATGTCATCAACAGCCATGCATGTCACATCGGATCCTCCATTCTCCATTTGGCACCGAACAAGGAACCGGCAGGCAGAGGTTAGTAATGAACGTCAATTTTTGTGTGGGAACAAACTTAATTCAAACCTTAACAGACAGACGTGAACAAAAATATCTGCTGTGTGCAATGATATGGTTGTCGGTGTCTGCTGCAGCTGCCTGTCTCAAGCCACTTGAGGGCATCATTGAGTTGCGCTCAAACTCGACAGCCTGCATTGTTCCGATAGCTGCAATATATTAATTTAGGGCTCCATCACAAGCAGGGTCACTGTTGATATTTATAATTCCTGTAATCAAAACAAAAGAGAATGCAGTCTCATTTAAATCAGCCTTATCAGACGTTCACCAGGTCCAGACTCCTCCGCCAGAGCCTGTAAAAGCTTCTGTGCTGCAGCCAATTTCCCAGAGTCAGTATGTGTGAGGAGGCTGGTGTTGCTGTGATTGGAGCAATGCCTTTTGGAATCAAGAAATTGCTGGCAATCTTCACTGACTTCAGCTATGTCAACAGGCTGGACACCGACTACCACTGTTTTCACTCTGTTCCCCAAAATGTTCAGCATAATGCCCGCATATTAAAGCAGGATATGATTGAGTAAAATGAGAGCTCAAAAGGCATCCCTCGTCTGCTCGATGCTGTCATTTCGCCTGCCTGGATAATGGTGATGACTCGGTTACATCCAAACAATGCTAATGTAATATCATCACAGGCTTTATAGAACTCTTACGCAGCAACAACACAGCGGCGAGCTCTACGCTGGATTCAAATGACTGAATTTGTACTGTTATGCAGTTTGACAACTCTCTGTTGTCCAACCCTTTCCCTCAACTCTGCATGAGAATCTACTGATGCGAACAGATGGAAACATCCAATTACTTTGCGCTCATCCTGTTCCAATTGTGTATGGCAATGATATATATATGTGTTAGAGGATGGTGAAAGGAGGGCCGTGGGTGTAAAGGATCAGGCTGACTTGAGACTGACTACACTACCACCTAATTAAAACCGCCTTACAAAGGCCAAGAGTGAGAGGAGGGAAACAGTGAGAAAAAAAAGAGGTTGAAAACTTTAACTACATGCCTCTTTATACACTACAAATATATAAGTACACTCATATCGA